CCTGAAGATTATCTTTCTGTTTCTGTTCTGAAAGAAATTCCCTTCAGGTTTGCTGCATGCTGCTGGCGCCTGAATTCTAAATGTCAAGCCTAAACCTGAGTTGCAAATCCACACTTCTTCAGAGACCCTTGAACAGTTTCTTTAAATAACAGCAACCTTGAAAATCGAGCTCTGTTTTAAGTGTACACCACACCCCAGGGAAGGGCTCCCAACCCATTGGACCTTATGTAGTTGATAAAATGTGTTTAAAATGTTAGCCGGACAGATTGATAGGCTTTTGTGTCTGGGACTAAAGGATATGAATATGTAAAATTGCTCAGAGATCACATAGGAACATGGTCTCATGTGCTGCTGGCAGTGGAGCCTGAGAACATGTTTTGTCTGCCCCAAGATCTCTATTTTATTTTGAAATTTGATGTTCTAGAAATCTGTTCACCTGTTGTCATAGCTTATTAGATGAAAGTAATTAGTAAGAGCCAACCTAAAGCTAGAATCAGACCTTAATGAGCTGGGACTATATTTACTGGTAATTTTTCAAAAAAACATACTGAGAGTTGGGTGCTGGTGGCTCACACCTGTGATCATAGCTTCTCAGGAGGCTAAAACCTGGAGGATCAAGGTTTGAAGCCAGCCCATGAAGAAAAGTCTTCAAGACTCCCATCTTTAGAATAACCAGCAAAATGTCAACTAGAGGTGTGGCTCAAGTGGTAGGAGCTTCACTCGAGTAAGTGCAAAAGAAAAAACCTCGCAAAAAGAAAACCTTCATATTGAGAGTCTGAGAATGTAATGCAGTAACTTTGTGTTTGCTTTGCATGGGTAAAGCCCCTAGGTTTGATCTCCGGCATCAAAATAAAAAGGAAAGCTTTCAAACTCACTGAAATTAGATATTTTAAATGCTTTGTTTTTTTCCCCCCTTGAACCCTAGTTCTAGCTCCAGCTTGAGATCACATACCAGTCTTGGGACTTGAACCTCAGGGTCTGAATACTGTCCTTGAGCTTTTTTGCGCAGGGCTAGTGCTCGACCA